CTATATCAAGAATGAGATTTGGACACACGTTGTCTAAAAACTATCTTTGGAGGATAGAAATACTACAAAATTTTATGTGCCAATATCTAGAAGAACCAGAAATATTAGACCATATCTTCTGAGAATTCAAAGGCAAAGACAAAAACAAAGGCAAACAATTAATTTATCATAAGCTGCAGGAAAAAGTACCTAATGTTTTTCCAGTAAATTTGCAAATCTAGCAACAATATTGATATATACAAAATTATCTATAACGTCATTTATAATAATGAGATAAACTTATAAACACATGGAATGTACATAAAATTATATAAATATGCAAAAGCTGACCAAATGATATGATGATCCATAGCCACATAAAATAAATAAAAAAAGCCTTGATGAAATGTAACAAAATGTTATAGCCCTGCTACAAGAAAAAACATTAAAGACCAAAGAACTCTTAAAACTCATATGTTTAATCACTTCTTTGCTTAGTTATAATAAATTTTATTTATCAGCAGTATCTCATGTTTATAAAGTTATTACTATACGGTTATCGTATATGGTATGATATAGATAACCTGATGCGTTTATCTGAAGCAATTATATTATATTTATATATATATATATATATATATATATATATATGCTATTTATTTCAAACACTAAATTTCATCTATATTTCTAATAAATTCGATCCTGTTTTCGGAGCATGTTTACCGAATGTGTCACAGCGAGCTGTCCGTTGGACTTTCAAACACAATGAGAATGATTTCATAACATATTCAAAATAATTATATATACACACATTTAAAATTCATACGAGAAACATATGTGTTCTTGATGGATTTATGCGTAAATAGAACATATTTCAAAATTTATTACTCGTTCAGGAGTTAGTTGAATGGATGGACAAGGATAATAGATGATTGATTGTGATGTACGTAAAAGACATTTAAAAAAATTCGTTCTTGCCAAACTCGATATGTGACTAAATTTGGATGAATAATGAATAATATGGATTGTAAAATGTTTTTTTTTTAATAATACTTGTTGAACAACAATTGGAACTTAGCAGTTCTGATAAACCTTTTCCCTAATAGCGTCGCTTTTTTAGAAGATAACCCAATGATTGTCCTAACTATATTTGATACATTATTTACATAATTATATTTCTAATATACTTCTGATAAATTTTTAATTAGGTGGAAAAATATCAGAGAATGTCTCATTTTTATTCCTATTTCTATTCCTAACTATATTCCTAATCCTATTCCTATTCCTAACTATATTTGATACATTAATCATATTGATATTTTTAAATACACTTTTAATATATTTTTAATTCGTTGCAAAAATGTCAGGAAATGTCGCTTTTCCCTTGTGGACATATTAAGCTCTATATTTCAAGTAAAACTGATATCATTGCCGCTTGATATCAGACTATCCAAGGTGTGGGTATTTGTATCCATATTTTTTTTTTAAATATAAATTTCGAAAAAGAAAATATATTTTTGTTAAAGACGAACCCGTTCACTATACGAATACAGATCTATCTACACTTTTAATTTTTTTAGTGATTTGTATTGTATTTTGCTTATATAATTATTAACATTGATATAGGTAATCAATATGTCAAATATAAATAATTAATTTTTTAAATAATATTTGTTATTTTATTTATTCATAAGCCGTGATCAATAATAGCAAATATTGCTTCAGATTTCTGTAAAATTCATTCATAATTCCAAATTATTTTTATACTCTATCCAAAGATAAAATAAAATTTCAGGAAAGAAACAAATATAAAATTAAATTACAGAATTGTGTAATATAAGAAATGTGGGCCTAATACTTGAAGTAAAAATAATTATATAACTGAATAATATTTAACTTAACATCATCATCTTTTATTTTTGTTTGTTTTCTAAAAAATTTAGTTTTCTGATAGACAATTTGTTTGTATATTTACATACTTAAGCCGACCAAACACCTTCTGGAAGTTGATTTACCAAAGTTTGTGTTAAAAAGTTAATTGATTCCAATAAATTTTTGGTTGGTAGAAGAATTTTTCATATTTCTCTTTATTAATATAAAGCATGTATAAATCCTATGAATTTTAGCCTTAAAAAAATAATATCATCTGCAGAAATGTATTGACAATACTCCAATGCCAGAACTATTTTGCAAAATTTCGATCCAGTTTTTATGATTTCGAACATGCACCACGTTCTGGATTTGTAAAGTGAAATGAAAATGTTCCATTTATAAAATTTCATTTTTTTAACTAAAATTATATATTTAACTAATTATTTGATTATAATTTTATGTATTTTTTACTATTCAATTTGCTGGTAAATATGTTGAACTGATTTAAGAAAACATACGATGCTTTTCAAAAAACTTTTTTACATACAACTTTCTGCGCAAAATTCTAAAACATGAATATTCATGTGGCTTAAATGTAAAGTTTAGTGCAAAAGAGTACAATTAAATTCTCTATTAAAAGATAAAATAAAATTTCATAAAAGAAAGAAAAATTAAATTATATTTTAGTGTCGTGTGATATAAAAAATATGGTTTTAAATATAAATAAACAAGCATTTAAGGACTTTATTTATAATTTCTCTTTTTCTTGAGCGTTTTGTATATTTATATAAACAATTAGTGAACGAGTTCGTCTTTCCATTAAATATTTTTTGAAGAAAAAACATTCTAAAACATTTGCGAACATTTGCCATTGAAGAAGTCAGTTTTATTTTGATCACCAGAAAATATGTGTAATGTGACTCTACTTGATGAAAAAATGAACAAAATACAATGAATATAGTGATTGTCTTTTTTTTATTATTTAGCAAAAATCTGCATATTTATATAAGTATTCAAAAAACGAGTGTGTCTATCTAATATTTTAACGGAATGTTCTACTAATTACATGAGACTTGAAGACTCTATTAATTTTTATTCGAAAGAAGAAATTTATATTAGATTTATTCAGGTTGAAACAGACCAAAAAATGGACAAAATAATAATTTGTCTCAGCTTTTTGGTCATGTCATAGATTTCGTTTTCAAATTCTTTAAGCTTTATTTTAAATCTGCTCATTTATGTACAGCAATAAATCGACAACTGCGCATTGTCATCAAATATTTTCTGGAAAAACATTATAAATTCTTTAAAAATTTAAATTTAAGTCACTATTTCATTTTGCTTAGCAGATAATATTTGCAAAAAACCTCCACATAATGACACAGACCACAAAATCAACAAATCGATAAATATAGTAATATTTTCCATCCTTTTAGTTGCAATGTCACACATATTTTTCATTTCTTAACCATATATTAAATATTTGTCTATTTATATGAGCAATCAGTAGACGAGTTTCCATCAGATATATTTTTTGAAAAAAAATCTAAATGCATTTACCAACAAAATTATAGTATCTGTTTTTATTTTGATCAGCAGATTATATCTGCAATGGACTTTCATATAATAAAACTAACCGGAAAAAATGAACAAAAAGATAAATCTAGCGGTCTTGTCCAAGGTTTTTAGGTTATGAAACCACAAATGTATCAAACAAGTTTGTGGTTTCAGATATTTTAGAAGAATGTGTTCAAAATTAGCACCTGACAGCTTTATCAAGAGTATTAGACAAAAAAATATGGATTATTTTTTGTACCATCGGTGACAAAATTTAATTCCAATAGATAAAAAATAGACAAGTCTAGTAGCATTTGCATTAAAAATGTTTTCCACATAACTTATTTAGACAAATTTTGGGATGACATTGAAATGTTATGTTACGGATTTGTAATTGTATGAGTTAGTGGTCACCAACTGTCAAAAAGCTATGTCAAATGTACTTCTTAAACATAACCTGTAAAAGGCACAAATAATAGTCTTATCATAAGTGCAACTTTCTGATGTCACCAATGATCAACCTCACTTTGACGAAGTCTGACCAAAGGTTCTGACATTTGAGCCAATTGGAGGTTAGGTTTTATGTGCAAAACAGCAAAGACGCAGTTTTCAGACATTTGATGACTACCAACTCATACGACTATAGATCCGTAACATAACATTTCTATGGTATCCCAGAATTAGTCCTTAAATCTATTTATAAAAGTTCTAAAGGTATGTCAAATCTACTTCTAAAACTTAACCTCTAAAAGGCACAATTAATAATCTTAGCATAGGTGCACCTTTCTGATGTCACCAATGATCAACATCACATTGGTGAAGTCAGACCAAAGGTAAAATTCTGACGTTTGAGCTAATTGGAGGTTAGGGTTTATATGTAAAGTAGCAAAAGCACAGCTTTTAGACAGTAGGTGACTACCAACTCATACGCATACGATTATAGACCCGTAACATAACATTTCTATATTATCTAAGAATTAGTCTATCCAGATAATAATCTTATCATAATATCTTTTTGATGCCACCAATGATCAACATCACATTGGTGAAGTCTGACAAAAGGTAAATTTCTGACATTTGAGCCAATTGGAGGTTAGGTTTTATGTGCGAAACAGCGAATACACAGCTTTTCGACAGTTGGTGACTACCAACTCACACGATTATAGACCCGTAACATAGCATTTCTATATAATCCAAAAATTAGTCCCGAAATCTATTTATAAAAGTTCTAAAGCTATGTCAAACCTACATCTAAAACCTAACCTCCAAAAAGGCTCAATTAACGATCTTATCATAAGTGCAACTGTTTGATGTCGCCAATGATCATTATCACATTGGTCCAAATTTAACCCTTTCCACTCGCGAATTTCGAGATTAATATGAATTTTGGCGCCGGAGCGGCGGCATCCGACTGAAAGGGGTTTAAATTCTGACATTTGAGCCAATTGGAGGTTAGGTTTTATGTACGAAACATCTAAAACACAGTTTTTTTACAGTTGATATACGATTATAGACCCACACTTTATATTTGTATGTTATCTGAGAATTATTCCCAAAATCTATTTCTAAATTTCTAAATCCTTTCTAATTACCTGTCTGTCCTCGTCCTCTGGTCGCCCCCATGGGCTAGTAAAGGGGGCGGCGGGGGGCAGAGCTCCTGCCTCGGCTTGAGGACAGGCGTCAGCCCCCATTTCTCGATAAACTCTATGCGGGAAATGATTGAAGCTAACACCGCACTCCACTCTAGTGCGGGGTTCCTTCTAGCGGAGCACCCCGCTACGCTACTTCGAGGACCCCCTTGGCAGCATTATTCACTTTTCGGCCAATGACGTTCCGCATTTTCGGGGGCTATTGGACTCCTGAATTTTTAATTTGGTTTTGAAGATCGATGGACAGTCATATCTTGGATGAGGATTGAAGATTGATTTGGTGTTTTGTGAAGATATTTTTGATTTTGTTGTTTTGATGTCTTTAGTAAATACCTAGTTTAGAGGGATTTTAGAGTTCTTCCTCATAATTTTCTAAATTGGAATTGGAAATGTGATCAAATACAGTAGATTTACAAATTTTAAAAAATAATAAAAAATAGCTGAAAATCAGTTTAATTTTTAGATTCTATAATCCCAGTTGTAATTTTGATATTTCTATTTCTTCCTATAATACTGATTCCACAAACTTTCTATGTTCCAGCAACATACTTTATAGTAATTTAGAATAGTTGTTTCTCAAGAAACGTAAAATTTTCTGATTCTCCAAAGGCAATTCATTCTCCATCAGTTTGCCAAATTGGGTGTTCTATTATTCTTACTCTTTAACATCAAATTTTTAAAAATGTTTGGAAAAATCTTGTAGCTGAAGCAGGTTTCAATCTCTATCTACTATTTCCTGAGTACTATAAATTTCGGTGGATTTTACATAAATTTTTTGTCCACATTTACTATCCAACATTGTTTACCATCAATAGAATGGATTCGTTAGTTTATTATCAGCTACGATTCATAATATTTCTAATTTTTTATTAAATTGTATTAAGAATTTTTTGGTAATATAATTTTGTACGTATCTCTTCGCTTTTACAATTCGTAAGACATCAAAATTTTGTTTTGGTTAACACAATTTTGTTAAATAGCTAAAATTTACGGATGGAAGTATTCGTATCGGTTATAAAAAAATTACCATCTAACTTGAATTTTTGGAATGTTTCAACAAATCAACGTATAATTTTGAAATTGACTTTTGTTTACAGTTAATACTTTTTTTTTCTTAAATCAATACTTCTTCAGCATCCAAAGCGTCTACGTTACTCTACTTCAATTTGTCAATAAGCTCTAAGTGCAGGATTTTACATTAATTACAGTTTCTAAATCACTTTTTTCCGCCCAAAATAATTTTTTATAGGTACACATTTAACATTTATACACGATTTTCACGATTGTTGGTTTTAATTATTCACAACACTATAACGACACAAATTGGGACTCAAAATATCGAAATTTCACAGCATAATGGACACAAATTTTGTTCTAACACGACATCATAAACAGTTAGACACCAAAATTCAGTTTTTTGAAATCGTTCAACACAAAATTAACATATAACATTACTCAATTGAGAAAAACAATCGGTCAACTGTGCATTTTTGTTTCGGGAAAGTTTCGATATGTTACAAATATATTTTACGTGTTTTGGATTGTTCAATGTACGTATTTGGGTTTTAATAACATTATTTAAATTTTGTATAAATTTTAGAAAAGAATTTGTGCAAAAATCATCACAACGTATTAAAAAAATTCACTTCGAACAAAATGTTCCTTCCAACAGTGTTTTTTACTGTTTTTTCACGATGCTGAGGTCCCACTAAATATTACCTCGTCACATTTTCACTTGAATTTTTTAGTGTCATTTTTCTGTTTAACTAAAAGTATCTTGTCCACTCGATTTTTCTAACTGTCCGTTATTGTTAATTCGTTAAATAAAAAATTTTAGCGGCAAAACGACCGCAGCCAGCGGTCGTTTTATGAGCTTCATCGATCCACTGAAATTCTGTGAATGTGTTTGAATGTGTATAGGTATATTTTATATAGTAAGAGTGCTGACAGAAAGATTATTCACTACTTATCTAAACCAGAAATTTTGTGTATTGTGTAATACTTATATTTATAAGAAATAATTATAGGTAGGAGTAGAATACCATAATTTGACACGATCGAGACATCAGAATTTTAATTTGTATAAAAAAATTATTTTTTTATAAGGTATGCAGTCAAATTTGACGATTAAATGGTAATTTAGTATTAAATGGTAATTTAGTATTAAATTTGCAAATAAGAATTGTTATTGGATTAATTACAATAAATTATTCAATAATATTTAAAACATCTTTAACGTTTGAGACTAAATTGAAAGTAACATTATACTTTTGGATATTAAGTTTGTAATATATGAATTTATAATATTCATTTCAATTTATTAATTAATACCGAATCATAGTTAGTACATGTTTATTTTATTTAATACAACATAGCTGTATTTTTTTGTATATTTAGCTGTTATATAATTATATTCAAGAAGATGTAATAAGATGGCAGGCATAATACCAAATCTTTAGATTATGAGATAACTCAGATATAAACTAATCCATTTTTTTAAGAATCATATATATATACTGCGTAGTTTCAAAATTTATAAATGATTCTAATTATTACTTTGCTGCATTTAATATTGTGTTACAATTCATTTAGGTACCTTTTCTTTAATAGATAATTTTAAATTTTTACAAATACTATCAACTTAATACCTTGATGTCGACTTTACGTGCTAACAAATTTATACTGTTCAATTTATATTCAAAAATCTACCTTTAAATTTATGACTGTGTATCCAAAAGAGTTACATCTATCCTCATTTTTGGCAGAAATATGATCATAATTAAAATTATCTAAATTGTTTCTATATTGATGTATAATTTGTTGTAGTTCTAGTAAATTTAAGTAACTTCAAAATTTTAACTTAATATTATTTTTTTTTTAATTTGTGAAAAGTTACAAAAATAATATATCTGAGAAACATGTATTTAACATTAGTTAATCCTTTAGTCGCGAAATTCAAAAAGTGTAATTTTAGAACCTCAAACTTAATATTTTTTGAAACTAGTACCAAATTTCTAATATTATTATAGGAAATTTCAATAGAATAGTTAAAAATCATTTTGATATTATTTCTGATATTTTGAAAAAATAAGTACAAAAGTATGCTTCTAATTGAAAATAGTTTGTTCGAGCATTTTGGTGTCAAAAAAACTTGGAAAATTCTGATTGAAATTGTAATTCTCCTACTGCAATTGTGATTCTATGATTAGAATTGAAATTCCATGATTGGAATTGTAATTTTCTTATTGGAATTTTATTTGCAATCTGATTGAAATTGTAATTCTCTGATTGGAATTGTAATTCTCTGAATAGAATTGTGATTATAGGATTGAAATTGAAATTTAAATTGCAATTTTATGATTGGAATTAAAATTACAATTTCTTGTTTGGAATTGTAATTAAGTGATTGGAATTGTAATTTTCTAATTGAACTTGTAACTATCTGATTGGAATTAAATTCTGTGACTAAAATTTTAACACTCTAAATGGAATTTGTAATCTACTGATTCGACTTGAAATATTCTGATTAGAATTGTAAATTTCTGATTAAGTGTAATTTTTTTATTGGAATTGTAATTCTCCAGTTGGAATTGTTATTATCCGATTGGAATTGTAATTATCTGATCGGAATTGTATTTTTCTAATCGGAATCTGATTGAAACTGTAATTCCCTGATATTAATTGTAATTTCATTATTGAAATTGTAAACCTCCGAATGAAATTGTAATTCTCGAATCAAATTTTAGTACTCTGATTGGAATTATAAATTTTTAATCGGATTTGTTAATAATTTGTTCAAGATCATGAATAGCATATCTTAACACGTTTGCGCACTGAATGCTGTAGCATATATTTTCATCTATCTATCGCATTCCAATTTTGAAATCAATCCACATAACCTCACGTTTTTGAAATTATTACACCTGTCAAGGTAATGACTGGTTCTGTAGGTACTTTTATCTATATTTTCTATCTATATATTTTCTCATAATTAGCTCGGGTAAGCACATTGGGTACAATAGAAGCGCAATATTTGACATGGATGCTATAGCATCCATAATGTATAAAGATTAATATATAATAATCTGACTACTATTATAAACAGTGTTTAATCAAATTTTGGATATCACATCCAATTTAAAAATAAAAAGGTTATCAATTTTTTGTACTTTGCTACAATATGCATTGGACGCAAACATGGTGATTGAAGTATTTGAATCATAGAATATATAAGCTTTTGTAAATTATAATAATAATGCAAGAATGAATTTAGTTATTGCACAAATGTCTACGGCAGTATATTGCACATTTGTGGAACATCAAATGACCATATTTTAGGCAGTATTTTAAGAAATGGCAGTGAATTAGACATTTGTTTGACCAGACTTCAGCTTTTAGGGATTTGAGCTTCAACCAGCGGACCAGCTTTCGCACAAAGCTCCTGTTCCTAAGATTTTTAAAAAATACATCATTTTCCATTATCATTCATCTATTTATTCCCTAGCTCTCGGTTAATTCCGAATATGTTTAAATGTATTGCGATACATCCAAGAATGAGCTCTACGACCACACGTAGACGGTCGTAGAGCCGAGAAGTGAGCATGCGTTGGAAACGGCTTCCGCAGGCGCATTGAGGACGCTTTTTGGTATTATATTTGAAATGCGGATTTTTTCTAGCTCTGGAATTGATAAATTTTTTATTTGCCAGTAATAGATAAAAATTTTTGGAGAGGAATCGGGAATGTGGAAGCGGGTACCCGCAGGATCGTACAACCCCGGCGAGGTAAAAGGTCAGATCTTGTCTTGGATTGTAAAAAATAATACAGTCAATTTGATTTTAGTAATAATTAATTGCAGATACTTTTTGTTTAGTTTATGATATCGGTGTTTATGAACATTATATAGTCTTTTTCTTATTTCTATCTTACAGTAGTTTTATATTCTAAACATTCTTTAACATTATCGGTTGGGAGAAAAGAACTCCAATATTTGTATATGAACATTTATATGAAACAATAACGGATTTCTTTTTCTCCAACCTAATATAAGTGCTGG